AGCGGCTTCACTCCGATGAGACTTTGCTGTGTTTTTAAAAAACATAATCCTGGTTCCAGTGATTGAAATGATACAGTGCAGGCCAGGCCGGTCACGTCAGGTAAAGCAGGCTGCATACGCCTGCAAGTGTTTCATCATAACAGTCCTCTCAAGAACTCAAGAGTTTCTGTTCACTGACACATACGCGCTCACTCTTTTCACTAATGCCTAGTGTGTTTTCTCATGCGTTTTGATTTTTTTGACATTACCACTGTCCCAGCCACCCCCCACCCCCCCTCGTGCAAACATTTCACTCACACTTGCAACTACAAATAGATGTGCGAGGACTATAAAACTTATTTAACAGCACGTCCGTGAATATCAAGTACTCAGTATTGTAGCTTATGATGGAGTCAGAGCACCTTTTCTGACAAACATGCCAGGATCTGAAGCGCCAGCATTATGACCAAGACAATGAAAACAGTGGAGAGGAAAAAATGATTTTTCACAGTCGACAGCAGCACTTACTGTGATCACAATCACAATAAGTGCTGACAGTAAGAAGTCCATGAGAGTCCTTAATTAAATCACCTGTTCAGCAAGCTTAGACGTGTAACTGTGGTCACTGCGTCTAACATACTAAAATACAATGAATTATACTCATCAAATAGGAAATTAGGCTTGTGATATTATATGATTTTATCTGACTGAAAAATTTTAAAGGGATTTTTATGTTAGTGTGAATTTTCATAGTTAGTTCAACTAAACAATCTCATTAGACCTATTTGGTAAACTGTGTGCTTTTGGCATTCATGCCAGTTCTGCCCACAGGTGCTGATGTTTAATGCAAGCTCCAAAAAGCACCCATCACAAAGATCTTCAGGCAGGTTGTTTGTTGTAGGTATAATAGTGAAATTCCACGTTTGCTTAATATGAGCACATGGATTTTATTTCTATAAACTAGATGTCTAACAGCACACATTAGGGATGCCACTTGAGTCCAGAGTGAGGATAAAGCAGGGTTTGTTTTACCACGTGATTGACATGTTGCTAGCCTCAGTGCATGCCATGTGTCAGCCAGACAGTGCATGCTCTTTGCTTATCGTGTCTGGTTTCAAAACACTAACCACATCCCTACACTCATCTTGAGCCTTAAAAACAGGACTCCACTAAGCACTGGGTCACCAGTGGTCGTGGTGGCTGCATCCACCAAGTGTGTAGACATGTTTCCCACTGTTTTTCCAGCAGTGTCCAACTTACTGAAGACAATTAACACACTGGCCAAAATAAGGATTATTAAATTACTGCAAGAGTGTTAAGTTTCACAAAGGTACCAATAAAGCATGCGCACACCCACACAATGTGCAAGAGCCTGAGTGATAGTATGAGGTGGCAAAGAGAAAATAAGAGAGACTGCAATAAGGACAGCAACAAATTTGACAGAGAAGAGACCTGAAGACAAGGAGAAGGAGGCAGAGAAAATTAACGCAGTCTATTCCCAAAGAGGGCACAGATCAGAGAAAAGTAAGTAAAGCTACTAGAAGCCTGGAGGGCAGCTGTGGTCCCCTGGTACGCCACAAATACTGGCACACAGCCCGTGTGCTCAGAATGGAAACACTCGGAGGAGCCAGCACAGCGACGCTGCTACCAACTGGAGGGCAGGAGGAAACAGGAAATGTGACACTCTACCTTGAGTCATTGCTCTAAACACAAACAAAGCTGCCTTACAATGAATAACTCCATACAGAGAAGTGACAGTAAGCATCTGCACAACTAGCACAGAAAAAGAGTAGTGCCACACTGAGGCTGAACACAATCCTGATTTAGACCCAAGTGCGAGAAGCCTTGTATTACAAATTGCTTCTGCAGCAAAGGAGGACTGAAAAATTTAAGCATTACTGCATCAGGAATATTATTAGGTGGTTTATTTTGAACAACACTGGGGCAAAAAGTGGTCAACAGTTATGAGATCGTATTTATTCTCCCATCACTTTTGAGTGTCAGGTTGTGAGGAAAAAAACGAAGCCTAAAACACAGAGTCAGGAAGAGGGATTTTACTGATTGATGCTACATAACATGGCTGAACACAAAAACATTCCGCATTAACCATCCAGTTATATCAAGTAATTTATCCCATTAATGTTAATAAGCGACAGCTTAATCTGCTACAGGCGATGATTTCTGTTTAAGAGTGTCTGACACAGATGAGCAGCCTTCTGCCAGATAAAATGCTTCCAGCTCTCTCAGAGTGTAGTTAAGCAAAGAGGGGCTTTGAGCTATGTGCTAACAAGTAGAGGATAATATTTACCAGCAAATTCATTTTTCATGACAGCATTTGCTTTGAGCTTTAAAAGCGAGGAAATGTTTGTATTAGAGATGGACCAATCCGATATTACGTAATCGGTCCGATACTGACGTACATTACTGGATCGGATATCGGAGAGAAATAAAAAATGTAATCCGATCCATTAAATATCCAAAAAGCACCTCACAGAACTTGCAACACAGCGTAACTCGGCTCATAACCGTAGCACGTCGGAGCAGTGTGCTCACGTGATAGAGCGGCTGTGTGTATTTGTAGCCTCAAACCAGCATTTCATCTCCGATTATCCCAGAGAGAAGTAAAGAAAGTGTGTAAGTTCATCTCTGAATGTTTGTAAAGCATTCCCACATTAAGCTGCTACTTCAATCGTGAAACTGATTAATGGTCAGCTGATCGGCTTTTCTGTCGAGTCCATCTCTCTTGTCTGTTTTTGGCCCACTTCGTGCCAGAAAGAGGAAACCAGCGGCTGAAAAACAGCAGCACGTTTAAGCTTGATAAGCTGTTGTTAGAATTTATTTACTTTCTAGAGCAGGATCCTTTTCTATGCAGCTGACGGCTGCTAACTGTGCAGGGGCGGATCTAGCAAAGTTCAGCCAGGGGGGCCGATAGGGCATGAACAGGGAAAAGGGGGCACAAAGACATAATTTTCTTTCTTATTCTCTTTCAAAATATCTTGCTTTTAATAAATAATTATCTGAATCTTACACCCAAAGTTTTAATCTTATGTAAAATGTATAGAAGTCCATGATTGTATATAGTAACTGTTAAGTCTAATATACCCTAGTAAGCTATAGTACTTTTTCCTTTGGGAAGGTACCATCTGTGCAGTCTGCAATTCTGTTGAAGAAAGATGTTGAATCTATTTAATTATTCTTGAAAAATAATTGATTTCTGTGCATTTTTTTTTCCACACTGCATCAAATTAAAGTTGATTACGTTGATTAAGCATCATGAGGTGGAGGGTGGGGGGTGGTTCCTTTTTTTTGCTGGGAGTTTGCAACCCTATTATTTAGGTTGCTTACTATTTCTGTTAAGTACTCTTTAAAATACCAGAATAGGAAGGATTGAGTAGGTTTAAGTTCATTAGATTGATCAGTGTCGCTGAACTATGAAATATTTTGGGTGCAGTGTATTTACACATACAGTTATAACAGAATAGCTTTAGTGTTGTTGTTTATTTAAACTTGAGTATGAACTTATAGAAAATGCAGCAATATATTAAAAAAAACAGTTTTATTGATTAAAAAACACTATATCGGATTCATATCAGTATCGGCAGATATCCACATTTATGATATCGGTATCAGTCATAAAGTGGTATCGTGCCATCTCTAGTTTGTATGCAAATATGCAATAGAAGGGGGGGAAAAGCGCTGACAGTGGTGCCTGCATTTCTTTTGGTCTGAAGTTGTGTTAGGTGGGGTTTTTCTGTTGTTCTTTATTTTTCTTAACATATTTGAAAAACAATGCTGTCAACACGCTTAGTGAAGTATTGTATGTGACAGTCATGCCTATGTTGAAGCTGCCTTTCCTGCCAAAAAAATATCAATTTTTGTCCTTAACAGCTCAGTGTTATTTGTTCCTTTATGGAGAAAGTCTCCTTAGATCATGTAAACAGTGCACAGGAACCCTTCACTGGCTTTTGGAGCAGTGACTTTAGATAGAATCTCGCTTGACCTGTAGTTTTCACCTGGAAAAGGGGCATTACAATGCAAACAGTCTGACAGACAGCACTCAGACAGATTTGGCTTGGTAGATAAACTGAGACAGTTGAGGCAACACCAACTAGCTTTGCTGTGAACACAAGGAGTGGTTACTGTAGTTCTGCAGTTACCAAAAGCCTTTCAGTAAGACAAATAGTGAAGCCTGTCACACATTTACTCACAGAGCTAGAGTTAAATCCAGTATCTCTTACTTCACTCAAATTAAATGCTGACAATAACAGTGGAGTGATTTATTCATTTTTGTTTATAATTAACGGCAAACACAACTAACCGTTCTATTTTACTGGGACATTACAAGTGGTGGAGTGACAAACCAATCAAACAGTGTTGGACCACGGTAGCAAAGCTTTAGAATAACTGAAAAACACCTTCAATAGGAAAAACGGCAGTGTGTATCTGTTAGTAAATCTGTGGGTGGAAGCTAAATGAAACCTCAAAGCAGAAAGTGTAAAGCATGCCTAAGTAACTGGTCACAGGGCCCATATGGGGTCAATGCTAATGCTTAAACACACTGTACCATAAGTAAAGTGTTAGCTACCATTAACAGCCTGTTCACACATCATGTCCCAACAAGTTCAATGAAACCAAAAGCAAAAGCAACTCCATTAGAAGCTTCAGCCACTGGAGACCAATGGCGTTTATGTTCTCATTTTGACTTCAAAAATGAATGAATGCATCATCATTACAACAAAAAAATAAAAAATAAATAAAACTTTACAACAATGCATCCTAAATGAATACACATCACAATATGTTCTGCTATACATTCATCCACTTCTCCAATAGTTTCTTTGTTGGTTTTCTGCACTGAGGGAGATTTTTGGAGTAATAATACTGTAATGTGAGATGTGAAAAAGCAGAACTTCCTGCTACAGGAGCCATCTCTTCCTCTGTAGAGAAATGCTGCTGAATCCTGGTAACCTACGGTATGCATTTCTTTTACGCTTTAGCAGAATGAAAAGGTTGAGACTTACCAATTTTCTGATTGAAAATTTTGTCAAATGTCAGTTCATCTCTCTCCTCCAGGTACTTCTGCATCACACTGCGAATGCTGTGAACACAAGGTGGTGGGGAGAGGAAGAAGCAGATTAATATGCAGCACAGTTAGCAGCTCACTAAGCTACATGCAACAGCAGCCCAGCCTCCAGTCAGAGATCCGTCCCAGGTTTGGAACTCTCCCGTCCCCACACAGCAGGAAAGGGACAAGGACACAAGGGAGGCTACAGCAGAACCTAGAGAGATACACGCTACCCTGGGAGCAGGTGTTAATGAAAATGAGAGCAGGGAGAAAGAATCAATTAGCGCCCCCTCCATAGGCCCATTAACACTTCACCAGCTCACTTCATACACAACAACAGCAGAGGAAGGCTTCACCTACAAACACCTCTGCATGCACACTGAGCATGTGCGAGGTGAACCCTTAACCGCAGTGGCCAAGATGATGATACAATAGCAGACTTGTGCATCATTTCTCAATGCATTACAGTGCATAACTCATTAATGGGACACACCACAATAGTTAGCTTTTCAACAATGTATCAGTGTAAAATACTGAGCACTCTCCTATTGAAATGGTATTTTCAGTCTATTTCTAAGCATGTGAATGATTCATATTCAAGAGTTAACTAAAACACATTAGAATATGTAAAAAAAAACCAAAAAAAAAAACCGCAGGCTTTACATTTTTTTCATGTGTAAAAAGGAAATGATGCGCTAAAACGATAAGTCGATTAACATCCGTCGTTTCTGTCTACAAATGAAAACAACAAATTAAACTTCCAGTGCACACACCCAGCATCAACCAAAGCACTGTCCACTGGCTACAAAGGCACTTCCATCAAACATTTGCATGAATTACAGCATACATGCCATAAGACAGCCACACACACACACACCCAAGCTACGACTACAACTAAACGACTTCATGCCCAACTGAAAAAAGGGGTGCTATGCAAGCTACAATTCAATTATATTTATATAGCACCAAATCACAACAACAGTCGCCTCAAGGCGCTTTATATTGTAAGGTAGACCTTACAATAATACATTCAGAGAAAAAAAACCAACAACCATATGACCCCCTATGAGCAAGCACTTCGGCGACAGTGGGAAATAAAATCTCCCTTTTAACGGGAAGAAACGTCCAGCAGAACCAGGCTCAGGGAGGGGCGGGGCCATCTGCTGCGACCAGAGAAAGAAAACAGGATGAAGGACATGCTGTGGAATAGAGCCAGAAATTAATAACGTGTGATTCAGCAGAGGTCTATTAACACATGTTGAGTGAGAAAGGTGACTGAAAAGGAAATACTCACTGCATACAGACTTCCCAGGTCTTATTCCCACACAACTTTATCTAGTTATGTGGTAGAGCAACTTAAAAAGGCAAAAACTACAGCAGGCTGAACCCTGAATAAACCAGCACAGTAGCAGTTTCTCCCCATGGAGGATTACTCTGAAAATACAAAAACAGAACCCATCTGGACCAGAGACTGGAAACACTAACAGGCCACAGCAAGTCAGACACCAACAACAAGACCAAGGTATACACAAATTTTGTTCAACGTTGCATCACACCCAATATGGTGGACAACTCTCAGGCAACGTGAGCATGACATTATGTGAGAAACATGCTGTAACGGCCAGAGCTGAGATGGTAAAATTAGCCAGCAGCCCAGTGCTCTGCATCTTGGGCTTGTTTGGGCTGATTTTCATGGGAAAGTGGGAATGAACATCAACTGCAGCCACAGCAACAGGAACAAGAACCTAGGAAGTAGACACTTCCTCTTTTAGAGGTTTGTGTGCCCCACTGAATCATTAGCAGCTGACTCTGGATTATTCGCGCTAAACTGCACCACATAAAAGCAGCTGGTAATATTTACTGTACAAGTCATGAATTATTGGACAGTAAACACATGTGTGTGGGGTGGAGTGGGGGGGAGGGGGGGAGGAGACTGCTACACTGTATCTAGTTAGTGAGGTTAGCATTGAGTTTGCTAATGAAACAGTGTATTAAAATCAAATGAAGAGCATGTTGGAAGAAACCAAGCACATAATCTGCCTTTGACTGCTCAAGATTTGAAAGATCACCAACTGCAGTGACACATACAACACTGAGCAAACACACGTTTGTGGCGGAAAGATAAACCCTCAGAAGCACAGTCTCACAACACTGTCATGATGGTGTCACAGATGCATAGACATCGATGTGAACAGCTTTCATTGTTTCATACCAGTGCAGCCTCCAATAACAGCAGCAGCATTAGCTCACGGGAGCAGATGACCGGAGCAGATCAGAAAACAAAGCCTCCCAGTGTAGAAATGCAGTGTGACTGACAGTGACTGTGGGCAAAAAGACAGAAATAAAGCAGTATTATTTACAGGCATCCCCATGACACTGACAATCTGTGAGTGGCATGGTGTCAGAAGGGTATGAATGTAGCATTAACGCTTGTAGGCACTACCTTCACTTATTGTGCGTCTTTATCTGCTTTGTCCACAGTCTCAACAGTCCTCACACATTTCTGAGGAGGACCGTGGCTGCAAGAGGTGGTGTTCAAAAGTCTAGCATTGCACTGGGCAGGTATCGGAATAATAATACATCCTATTTCTCCATCTTTAAGCATGATAACCAGCCGGTGGGACCAGTACATCCAGGTACTGAGGATCAACCAATGAGCCACAAAGCAGAGATACTAAAAACCCGGGACACTTTTAGGTTTTTAGATGACCTATAACAATGATGGATGCAGCTGACAGAAGACAACTGATATCAGCTTAAACACACATCTCCTCCAGTCTTGTGTCAGTGTGTCGCCACGACCTCACCTCACACAACTTTTTTGGAATTAGAGGTGAGATAAACAAGTGTGTCTACATTACACTCCAATTTCTTTTTTTCCAAGTCAGTACAGCAGACAGAAATATCACCTCCTGATTTCTCACTGATGATGATTGATCGATCACCCGTACGCATCGAGATGCATCCGTGTTGCAAGTGTCGGGCGTGTTTACAGGTTGAATATGCCCCTGCTGTGAGGAAGCTTTCATTTCTTATGAATCTCAGAACTTAAAACCTCAAAGAGGAAATTAGACAAACATCACCTTAACTGGCAAGCTGTCACCACTCACCCTGACCATCATCAATCTCAGCACCCACTAGCACAACCATTACAACACAATTCAACAAAATCTTCTGCTGCCTCCTCTGCGACCTTCATCAAAGCCACTCAACGGTGATTTCTGCAGCGACAAAGTAGCGCCCTGGAGGCAGAGACCCTCCCAATGTTAGGTGACCTGATTCTTTACCTCGCTACACCCCCTGACTGCATTTCACTGCAGAAAAAACAGGTTTGGTACACACTTGCTATTACATTGAAGCTCAGCCTGTACTAAGCAGAAGTGATGCTAGTCGCAGTAACAAGCTGCAGGTGGGTAAAGGGGTTACAAAACCAACATGTGTGAGGTCTGACTTTCAGCTCTGCATTAAAAAGGTCACACACAGGAAAGGATTCTGAAATAGGTTAAGTCGGATCATGTCTCTGCATTTGCTTTGGCCCCGTTTGGCGGTGGGTCAGTGCCAGTGTAAGAGGCACAAACGGCCGGCTTTCATTAGCTGTTAATCTGCACTCTGACGCTATAACAACACTGTGCTGGTGACCATTCCAGGCTCCAGGAAGTATGCACATGTGTAAATATTTAACATATTAACAGCTTGTCACTAGCATTTCTGTAGCCGGCTGTGTGGGCATGTAATTGAACTGTGCTGATAACATACTGCACAGTGCCAAGGTTCTGACCCAACTCAAACCTGCTTCAGACATTTTCAGCCCATGTCTATAGTTCTCACGCTGTGGGAGAGCAACAACTAACATTTTATTTGCTCTGTCAATATTTCTCAAGAAAGCTTAGTTTATACCTGACAATACAAATAGGACCTGAGTAGGTGGAAGGAACACTTGTTTCAGCTCATTTGAGCCTGCAGACATGTAATTACTGTCTTTAACAGGAAAACTCACTTTGCCAAAACTTGTTTTTCTGGCTGCTGCTCAGCCTCAAGTGGATTCAGAGGGGGCAAAGACAGCCACTTATAAGAAAACCTGAGCAATTTTCAGATCTGCAATCATTCTCGATTAATTCACTCTGGAAAAAGTGGTTTTACTTTATAACTGGATAGAAATGGTCCATTAAATGCTGTATTAAATAGCAATATCTCAGTGCTGTCTGAAAAGCAAAAATATTAACAATGGCACTTTCAGGATTAAGAGCTTATGGGATTCTTGCACAATTTACTGTTTGGCTCAACAACAGATTTGAATGACATCTCAATGCAGAGTACAAACTGCAAAATTAAAAAACTGATCTGCAACGACTGGGTAGCACAGTTGAAATGATGCATCTATCAGTGGGGGGAAAAAAAATCACTGGCTGCAGGAGCCTGGCAGAGGGGACGTAAGTCATCATGACTATAGCAGGGCGATGTGACCAAAAATATTTATCACGATATACATTTGAAAAATTTGCCATAACTGACGATATAATTGACACTAGACAAAATACTTTACAACTCAACAACTTTATTAGTGCAAACCCCCCCAAAAAAAACCAAAAAACACCAATGTCTTTTCACTTAAACAAGCAGCTGTTTTTTTATGTGCATTAAAGTTGTATAGAAATGTAACAGTGCAAATGCAAATTCCTTGCTGACAGTTTAACCAAAAGGCATTTACAGTGGAAATTGGCCGACATATCCTCAGCATAACCATGTATAATATCCACAAAACTTAAAAAGAGGTTATACACACACACAATATGGTAATATTATGTTGAAGCACAGTACATATCACTCCGCGAGGCTCCTGCCTACGATAGCCGTAATGCTCCGACAATCCATCAAGCAGTGCAGGTGCGTAGCTTAGCAAAGTCGTGCTAAAACATTTGACAGATTTTTAGCGCCGTGTACCACATAAAATCATTTCAAGGTCAGTAAACACAACCAGAATTCATACATAAGGCACACAGGATTATAAGGGGTACTGTCCATTATCAGAAAAA